GTGTGAGCAGAACGAATGGTTGTGGAGGAGAAGCGCCGAAGTGTCGTTCCACGTCGTGCTTTGTGTTTCAGTGACTCGATGGAGACGGTCATCCACTCGGCCGATGCCTTCGCTCCTGTTGGATACCTGCGCTTCACACGCATGCACACGGAGGACAAGAGAGAAGTACGACTTCCACACGGCTCCTTTGTCCCTGAGGTCCATCGTGTGTGAATGAGCTCATGGTTGTGATGTCAGAACGAGTGGCTTTTTGCAGTATAGTTTCGGTAAATGAAGAAGTATGGAGGACCAAACCTGCAAAAATTTATAATAAATAAATAAAGGAATAATACCCTTGTTAAAGCAAATACAAATAACTTTTAAATTAAGTCCTAAACTTACTTTTGTATTACTTTTCCATCTTTATTTAGTGTTTTTTTTAATTATTCTTTCATTTATTAGTTTTTAGATTTAACATTTGAATGTGGCGGGGTTTAAATATGGAAATAAATGTATAAATAAATAAATATACAGGTAAATAAAACGAAATTAAAGAATGATAAATAAAAGTAAAAAAATAAATTAATAAAGGAAAAGAAACAACGATGATTTGATCTCTGAATATTACAGTATGTCACATATGAAGTCAAACTCTTTTATTTGCATTTGCTGGGAATCCAACCCTCCATATATTGATATTATTAGCACCATAAGTTAAGTTAATATTTCAGTAATTTAATAACACATTTGCATGTTCTCTGATGTCGGTAATGGTCACATGACATGCAGCTAAACAAACTAATCTTTTTTTTTTGTAATTGTTTTATGGTAAAATGGAAAAAATTAAATTTCAATGCTTTTGCGTTCTCTAACAAAACCTTTGCGTTCCCCTGAGAAACTTTGCGTTCACTCACCAAATTTTTGTGATGCAAATAATATGAGATAAAAAAACACTTGCAGTTTCTCTGTGGAATGCAGTGCTTTTGTGAGAGAATCTTTCCTGCCGTCTCTCACCATGTCTCCTTAGGTCCTCTGTATATATATATATATATAT